CCAGCTGACGCCACCTGCCTCGTTTGCGGCACCGTTTTTGGAGCCGTCTTCGTCTCTTGTCACACATTGTGCGATTCGCGCCGGCCCAGGTGCTGGAACGAAATTCGGGCAAACCGCAAACGTTTCCCGCCACTCCCTGATGCCATCGTCGAGCACCTCGATTGACAGGATCGGGGGCTCCATCGTGAGGCCCAGCGCGCGGGGCACTCCCATGCTCTGGCGCAGGGTCCAACTCGCCGTGCTGATGGTTCCACCATTGGCCGCGCCAGCAGGTAGCAGCAGTGGTTCGGCACATGCCTGGCCCTGCCTGTTGCAATCGCTGTCCTCGTTTAGCTTTCTCCGCTTTGCCTGCGCAGCGTCTCCTGTATAGCTTTCCCTGTATAGCTTTTCCCGCTCGTTTGACTTGATACGCCTCGCGCTACACTAGGCGAGTACAAACATGTATACGTAGCACCCCGCAGATGCGGATAAGAGGGAGGGGGCGGTGCGGACGTCGGCAGTTTGCGAAGCTTCGGAGAAGCCCGCCGCAGGCGCCACAGTTTCACAAATTATACAGCGAGTCAACCGCAGGCGCCGATTTCTTCGTTAAACCAATGTGGGTCGGTCGCGAGTGGGTAGCGGGTGGGTCGCTGTTGGTTCGCGGGCGGGTCGCGGGTGGGCCGCGGGTGCAGAGGCCAGAGAATCCACCCCATGATAATTACCTTGGCGAGGGAAGCCGTTTAGTAAACGCACACACGAAATTCATCGAACAGGGCAGGGCTGTCTAGTCAACGCCCAGGGCTTTTTTGGGGTAGAAGTCAATTGTCGGGTCTGGGTGGTTTTTTCCCCTTCAGGATGGATCGCGGGGTGGGTCGCGGGTGGGTCGCGGGCGGGATTGCGGGTGGGTCGCGGATGGGTCGCGGATGGGTCGCGGGGTGGGTCGCGGGTGGGTCGCGGGTGGGTCGCTGGTTGGTCGCGAGTGGGTTACGGGTTGGGTCGCGGGTGGGTCGCAGGTTGGGTCGCGGGTGGGTCGCGGGGTGGGTCGCGGGATGGGTCGCGGGTGGGTCGCGGGTGGGACTTCGACAACAAACAACAACAACGACAACAGCAACGCAACAAACAGAATTACCACCACGATATTCAGCCACGCACCCAGGGACAATGAATGACCATTCGGTCCTCGCGCTCTGATAAATAGGTGTGCGCGTGTATGTGTATATGACCGCGCGCACATATATATATATATATATATGCATACACGTTACACAAATACGCATGTGTATGGTGATTTGCGTGTGTGCGTGAAGCCAACGCTGCGATAATCCAGATATTGCCCTGCCCCCTTGCACTTCAAGCATCCAACCAAAACGCCGCGACAACCTCACAGTCTATTCCAAGTTTGTGGCACGTAGAGTTCCTCAACTTGGGCGCGTGCGCGCCAACAGTCTCCCACCACGTGCGTTACACATCCCATAGCACCCTGGGCTCCGGGAGTGCGGCCCCAATGGTATGATACGAAAGGAATGCGTAGTGCAATCGAGGTCCACACGCGGCCGTGCGAAAGTCATACAAGGTGAAACGAGCGTTGCCGCGACGGGGCCCAACGTTACTTTACATCGGGTAGCCTTGTACACCTCATACGTACTCATCGAAGCTTCCCCCTTGGCAGTCCCCCTTGCGGACGAAGTAGTCTTGTCACCCCCACATCGAAGCACACCACGTATTCGAATTGTACTCTGTGCTCCTCCCACTTCCTGCGCATCTTCCCCATGGTTTTCCTCCATTCCTGTTCATTTCCTCCGTTCCCCTCCCTGCCCCTCGCTTCCGCCTACATCCTCGCTCATCTCTTCCTCCTCCTCCTCCTCCTCCTCCTCCTCCTCCTCCTCCTCCCCCCCGTCCTCCTCCTCCTCCTCCTCCCCCTCCTCCCCCTCCTCCCCCTCTTCCTCCTCCTCCTCCTCCTCCTCCTCCTCCTCCTCCTCGTCCTCCTTCTCAGGGATGGGGATGCGATGTGGAGGTCCCTAGACCACCAGGTGAACGTGCCATGCCTGCCACTATCTCGCGCAGTACGGACCAGGTCCTTGCGCATCCTGGTATGGTTGGCAGGTACCGTTGCATTCATTGCGGCGTCACGGCCACCACGGGGGCCTCCATGGACTCTATGCTGACGGGCTCTCATCGTGAATGTCGGCCGTCGCGAATGATTCGTGCCCTCAATGCCGAGGACTTCCGCAACTGTGGCGAGGAGTGGACCCTGTGTGGTGACCAACGTGCCAGTGTTGCGGTGGGTGGTGCTGCCCTGGCGAATCAAGGACGCCCAACTGTGTCTCAGCAGGGCTTCTGGCCAGCCCAGCCCATGGTTGAGGACGTGGCATTGGTGTTCACAGACTTGGGTCACGGCGTGTTCATGAACAACCAGGTCTACTGCTGTCGCAGGTGTGGTGCGCAGTGCTCCATTGGTGAGGTGCGCACTTTGCTTAAGCTGGGCACTTTCTGCGCTGGTCTGTCCGGGAGCGTGGCCACACGGCGGAACCAGCTGGATGCGGTCAAACGTGTCGAACGAGGTCTTGCTCCTCGTGCTCGACGTACCCCCGCAGTTTCGCAGCTTGCGAGGGAGGATGGCTGTACTACGTGAAGACCGCCCATGGCGCGCTCTGCACTGGCCGTCCACAGACGATGATGCCCTACGTCCTCGGCGGTTTTCTGGGCTCCCTGTCCTTCGAGCCCTTTGTCTTCATCAACTGCCTCCTCGTGGTGCTCCTCGCGCCATGGGCAAGGCACCCCGCCGCGGCCCGTGGCGCGCGTCGGGCGCGCCGCGGGACACGGCGCGGTGGCGCCGCGCTCCTCCTCCTCCTCCTCGTCCTCCTCCTCCTCCTCCTCCTCCTCTTCCTCCTCCTCCTCCTCCTCCTCCTCCTCCTCCTACTCCTCCTCCTCCTCCTCCTCTTCCTCCTCCTCCCCCCCCTCCTCCTCATCCTCCTCCTCCCCCTCCTCCCCTCCTCCCCTCCTCCTCCTCCTCCTCCTCCTCCTCCTCCTCCTCTTCCTCCCCCTCCTCCTCCTCCTCCTCTTCCTCCTCCTCCTCCTTCTCCTCCCCCTCCTCCTCCTCCTTTCCTCCTCCTCCTCCTCCTGCTCCTCTTCCTGATGATCCTCCTCCACTCTTCGCTCGCAACCTCTCCGCTCATCCGGGGGGGGGCGCGCAGACATCCTGGCTTCGCGCGTCGCGTGCCTGGGCTGGAGAGCGGCGTTGCGTCGGCCACGCCGTATGGCGAGTCGATGGGGTCCGTTTAAGTCGGGCACGTCCCTCTACAGAGGGAAATTCAAGAATAGGCGAACAATAGTCTGGGCAATTTTGTTCATTCATTTTTGATCATTCATTTTTCGTCCAGAATCCGCTTGTAGGGGGACACGCCCGACCGAAGGCTCGGGGCGGCCGCGCGGTTCTGACGCTTCGGTCGGTCTCCGAGGGCGTCTCGGGCGATGGGCTCCTCCGGGTCACCAGCACGGTGCGGTGACGGACCGTGCGGTCGTCTTCGCTTCCATCAGTTTTCTCGTTCTCTCTCCTTGCTCGTTCCCCTGTGTGCGGCCAGTGCGACGCAACCGCCGCCGCGCTCAGGGTGCGGAATCACGCGACGCCCAAAACGGGGTAACCTCGCTCTGCCCGGGGCTGCGGGCAGGCGTGCAGTCAAGACACTGAAAGGAGGGCCATTTTGGGGTTCAGGAGGTTTTTTTTTTCTGGGATGTGGACCTTAAGTAGGACGGGGGCAACATAGCCCCACCCCTCCTTCATCCTGAACTGCTGAGCGGACGCCCCTGGCACCGAACGACAGTAGCGGCAGCATCTGGAAGTGCGCTGATCATTTTCACAACCCCTCGCCCCGCCAGATCACAGCATCCCGCTTCTCGGGTGTTCGATCATGGACACTTCGCCAAACGCAGCCATCGATCCTTCGCGTCGAAGACCGCTGGAAACCGCAAGAAGCCGCCGGAAACCGCCTGGAAGACCGTCCTAAACCCGCCGAGGACCAAGGGCGCCCGAAGGTTTCCGAAGACAGCCGCGCACGGGCCAGAAACGATAGGTAACAATCTTCTTCCTCCTCCTCCTCCTCCTCTTGTTCCTCCTCCTTGTCCTCCTCCACCTGCTCCTCCTCCTCGTCGTCCTCCTCCTCCTCCTCCTTCTCCTCCTCCTCCTCCTCCCCCTCCTCCTCCTCCTCCTCCTCCTCCTCCTCCACCTCCTCCTCCCCTTTCCTCCTCCTCCTCCTCCTCCTCCTCCTCCCCCTCCTCCTCCTCATCCTCCTCCTCCTCCTCTTCTCCTCCTCCTCCTCCTCCTCCTCCTCATCCTCCTCCTCCTCCTCCTCCTCCTCCTCCACCTCCTCCTCCTGCTGCTCCTCCTCCTGCTCACCCTCCTCCTCTCCGTCCTCGTCCTCGTCATCCGCCTCCTCCGGCCGCTCTCACCAGCCTGGAACACTTCCATGCCTTTGATTGGCCTATCCGTATCTCGGTTCCGATAATGGGGGGTCCCTCGGTTTCTGAGGAGATACCTCCAGGCTTGTCGTCGCCTTTGGGCTTGTTAATCTTAAGGATCTTGAGTAAGCTCGAGCCTGGTTATCCCTCCGCCTCCTATCGGTGGTTCAAAGATGAAACTTGAGGGCGAAGTGCCTCCAGTAACGTAAGTCCACCCTTGAATCCCTTTCCATCCTCAGGGCACATCCCTCAGGACCCCATTCTTGAACTACCGATCCTCGATCCTGCGTCAGCTCCCTTCCAGGGCCCATTTCGATTGCTCCGATCCGAGTCGATTCGATTCGATCTCGATGGATTCCGATTCCGATTCGATTGGACCTCGGATTCCGGTGTGCTTCCGATTTTCAGTGGAGGCCGATTCGCTCGTCGACGTCCGCGTCTCCGCCGATTCGACTCCTCCCGACGTGGCTGCCGACGCCCGCCAGGCCGTTTCCTCTCGATCGCCGACCCGCTGTCGGGGCCCTCGCGGCCCCTTCCCGCGCCGCGCGCCCCATGCCTGCCTCGAGGCGCGGGCGGGCAGCAGGACGGGGGCGAAGTCCATACCGCTGCCGCGGACGCGCAGGCTGAAGGGGACGCTGGTGCGCACGGGGGGGGCGGGGAGGGGGGCAAGCCGGGACGCCTCGCCACTGCTCGGTAGGCCTTGTCCAAAGAGGCCCACCAAGAGGCGCCCAGGAGGCCCCCAAGAGGTCCCAAAGAGGCCCCACGAGGCCCCCAAGAGGCTCAAAAGAGACACCAAGTGTCCCTCATACGGCCCCCAGGAGGCCTCCAAACTGCCTCGAAGAGGTCCCGAGAGGCCTCCCACGGACGATGCCTGGGGCGATGCTTATCAAGCAGTGGCGAGGCGTCCTGGCTTGCCTATCGAACGTCCTCCGCCACCGTGCCTGGGCTGTGGGCATGCAGCATGTTGGATGGTCGTTGGGATCTCGTGGGAGGCCTCTCCGGGGCCTCTCGGAGGCAGCTCGGAGGCCTCTTGGCGGCCGTTTGGGGGGCATTTGGAGTCTCTTTTGAGCCTCTTGGGGACCTCGTGAGGCCTCTCTGGGACCTCTTGGGGTCGCCTGGGCACCTCTTGGTGGGCCTCTGTGGACGATGCTTATCAAGCCGGGGCGAGGCGCCCTGGCTTGCCTACAGGCCTACCAAAGAATGTTCTAAGAACCTTTCGTGGTGTGCACGCCTTGCTCTCAGACCACTTCTGGCTGAGACCATCTTGGTTGAACCAGTCGGCTCCGTGTTCTAAGAACCCTGTCTTGGGTTCTCAGAACATGTCTCGGGTTCCGAGAACATCTCGTGGTAGGCCCACGATGCTCGGGACGATGCCTAGGTGCGGCGGCTCGCAACGCGCGCCCCCCGACCCATGTCGGAGCACGCTCCACGGAACTCGGGCGCAGCGAGCGGCCAACCTAGGGCCTCCCGAGGCTCCCGAGGCTCCCGCGCTGGCCACGGCGGTCCTCCCGCCCGCGGCTGGCAGCTGCCGCCCGCCACCCTCTTCTTTTACGAGGAAGGGGGTGCGGGAGGAGAAGGAGGAGGAGGAGGAGGCGGAGGAGGCGGAGGAGGAGGAGAAGGTGGACGATGCTTGAAGGTCGCGCATCACGCTCCCCGTAGGAGGAGGAGGGTCAGGTGGAGGAGGAGGAGGAGGAGGAGGAGGAGGAGGAGGAGGCCCATGAATAGGTACCCGTATTGCTACCCGCTGCCCTTCCTCGTTTTCGCCTTGTTGGGCCTCCTGGGAGGCCCTCGTCACCACCGCTGGATTCGCGTCGGCATTCTGGTCAGAGCACACCCCAGGAGAGGTCCGCGGGGGATAGGGAAGATGTGGTGGAGGACGGTGCTTTGAACGATGTTTGGGGGGGAGGGGTCGCGCATCGCGCCCCCAGACCCGGGAGGAGGAGGAGGAGGAGGAGGAGGAGGAGGAGGAGGAGGAGGAGGAGGAGGAGGAGGAGGAGGAGGATATGTACCCGTATTGCTAGCTTTTTATCGTTTTCGCCTTTTTGGGCTTTTTGGGAGGCCCTCATCACCACTGCTGGATTCGCGTCGGCATTCTGGTCAGAGCACGACCCAGGAGAGGTCCGCGGAGAAGCGATATTGGTACCTCTTGGTTACCCCAAGGAGGAGGGGGAGGAGGAGGATGAGGAGGAGGAGGAGGAGGAGGAGGAGCAGGGGGGGGAGGAGGAGGAGGAGGAGGAGGGGAAGGAGGGGCCAGAGGAGGAGGGAGGAGGAGGAGGAGGAGGAGGAGGAGGAGGAGGAGGAGTTGGAGGACGGTGCTTGGGACGGTGCTTTGGTGGGAGGTGTCGCGCATCGCATCGCGCTTCCCGACCCAGGAACAGGAGGAGTAGGAATAGGTACCCATACTGCTACCCTTCCCTCGTTTTCGTCTTTTTCGGCCTCCTGGGAGACCCTCGTCACCACCGCTGGATTCGCGTCGGCCTTCTGGTCAGAGCGCACCCCGGGAGAGGTCCGCGGAGGAAGAGGAGGAGGAGGAGGACCAGTGTAAAGACAAGAGTCATCAACGATGTTGGGATAAACCCTCGCCCTAGCTCACTCTTCACTGGCCCCTACAACGGTTCATTTTCATTGAGGGAACTGCCTCGATGCAAGACAATTGTTTGAAGACCCTGAAGCATGCCAACACATTGTTCTCGGGGTTCGAACGCCTCGGGACAACCTGTCTGTAGCGTCTTGACGATGTGAAATCGCTCCACAACCCCATTCCTGGGACTTCAACCCAGCCCAGCGCTCAAAACACAGTTTCTGGTACGTTGATGATGGGAACCCGTAAAACTCTTGCAAATTGCGTACTTCAACGAATGTGTGCGGCGCTTTGGCGAGAGCCACATTTTGAAAACCACCCGCCCTCAATCCGTGAACCTCCGTTTTCGATTCAATTTAGGGAGCCACATGTTGAAAATGAACCACCCTCAATCCGTGAAGCTCTTGCACCTGTTGAAACGGATGTGCGGGACGCTAACGCGAGAGCTACATTTTTTGAAAACGGCTAGCCCTCAATCCGTGAAACTCCTGCACATGTTTCAAACGAATAACGAATGTGCGCTACGCTAAGGCGAGCATCACATGTTGAAAACCACCCGCTCTCAATTCGTGAAGTTCTTGGAATGTTTGAAACAAATGTGCAACGCGCTAAGGCGAGATCCACAGTTTGAAAGCAAACAACCCTCCATGTGTGAACACGTTACCAAGTTTAAAGCTTCAGAGTCATAAACAATGAGGAAGTCTCGGACGAAACGCCCAGCCCGCCCTAACAACTGGCCTCGAGGTGCGGCAGGGAGAAGTTATTGATAAGGAAAGGAATGGAGCAGGAGCAGGAGGAGAAGGAGGAGGAGGCAGGTGAAGACATCACGAGGAGGACGAGGAGGAGCGAGCAGAAGGGCAAGGGAGGTGGAGGAGGAGGTAGGGAGCGTTTTTTGTTTTAAAGTAGATCCTGGCAACAGTTGTCTTGCATGGCCTCCCCCCCTCCGCAGCCCTCGCAACCAACGCTGGGCCGCCAAGGCGCGCAAGTGAGTCCAGACTTGCGTAAAGTCCAGGTTTCCTTTCGAGCGTCGCCACGCCAGCCCTGCCCCCCCCCCGCGTGGTCTTGGAGGTCGGTGCGACCAGTATGTGCAGCCCCACCGTTGTATTTACCTTAATAGGGTGACGGCCGGCCTGTGGCCGAAGCAGTTTCGCAAGGCTGAGCAGCGTCACCGCGGTCTTTGATTTTGCCCCCACGACTTTGTCGGATAGCTCGGTACTGGAGACCGTCTCTCCCGCCTGGGGGAGAGGGTCTCCGGCGCATGGCCACGGCCGCGTGCTCCGCGCCGCGGCGTGGGGATGCCAACCAGCACGTCCAGGGACAACCTTCAGGCGAGCGTCAGCGGCGACGACGAGCGCCAGGGTCCCCGCGTGGCATAAGTCTAAGTCGGGTATGTCCTTCTACTGGAGGAATAGTTCTACTAGTGCAAGTACCGCATGTCCCCCTACAGTTAATAAACATGTAGTCTGGGGGCTTTTTTAAACATATAATGCTTCGATGTGGTTTCAAATACTATTTGACTCTTTTTCCAATTGTCGCCCAAAATCCGCCTGTAGGAGGACATGCCCGACCTGACACTGGCGACGACGACGAGCGCCTGGGCTGGCAGACTTCGAGTAGGGGATCAACTCAATAAATAATTCCCCCAGATTCAACTGTTCGTCCCTCCGGGAAATGCGTCTAATGTTCGTAGATTTACGATTCTGATACGTATATGTGTGCAGTCGACGAGGGATTCAATTCCGGGGTAAATCATGGGGTCGTCTATCCCCTATTCGAACAACGTGGGAGCGATGATGGAAGAGGTTGTGAATAGGGCCGCCTCCCGTGCTCTGCCAAGGAAGCGCAGACATGGACTCGGGCGCATGGATCAGCGGCGGGTCCCATCGGCGCGCTCCGCCGCCACATGAGGCGACCCCTGCGCCGTGTCTCCCGGGGGGAGCGTTCCCCGACCTGGCGCCCACGCCCAGCGCCGGAGTTCTCGAACGGCCTGTGAGCATCCTCGGACCATCTCGAACGAGTTGCACCGGGAGAGAGACGCACACTGTGGGAAGAAAACAACACTGTGGGAAAAACACACTGTGGGAAAAACATACACACACATACACACACACACACACAAAAAAAAAAACAGTGGGAAAAGACGCACACACACCGAATGTGGGAAATAAACATTGTTTTTTTTTCCCACGTGTGGGTTTTTTCCCACACACACACTGTGCTTTTGTTTCCCACCGTGTGCTTTTTTCCCACAGACCAAGCAGTGCACGAGGAATGGGCGTCCGCCCGATGGCACGAGTCGGTTCGCAGGGGGTCGTGAGGCGCCCAGCAGAACTGACGCCGGCGATCCTGGCCCATCGGGGCTGGGCACTTCAGCGACAAGCCACCGGTCATTGTCCGCAGCCGCTGCTGCCCGGCATCGCCACCACCGTCAACCGTTGGGTGGGTGCCGGGCAAGAAGCGACAGCACGAGGTTCTACATTCGCGGCATCTAGATCGTCTACCGCATGTTGCCCAAATTTCATCAGGTCCAACGGCGTGAAGAGTCTCCAGCGATATGGTCGCACCAAGCCAGGACCCGAAATGGCACTGTATTGCGGGCTTGAGAGCGACGCCGCACTGTATTTCTACCAAGTGGGACTGCCACTGCAGCCACCGAGTCTCAACGGCATCAGCAGCTGCAGAAGTTGTGCAGAACAGGATCAGGGGAAGCGCCGAATTCAGCATCAAGGAACTAATCGTGAGAAAGGCCATGACGCGGCATCCATACCGCTTCTAGAGAGAATGGTCACCGTATTTCGGTTGAGGCCTGCGCACCTGCAACAACAGTGCAGTGGATCATCACCACGGGCAGTTCTGTAATAGCGGACTTGACCGTGGATTTCAATTGCCAGGGCGTCATCACAGAAGCAATGTGCAAGCCAGACCCAGACATTCTCTTGTCCATGGTCTTCAGGATTACCTACATAGATGTGAACGTCCAGATGGGCATTAAGACCAACCGCGACCGCACTCACCGCGGACACGAGGGACCGTGTGGAGGAGGAATAGGACGAAAACGTCGAAGATGACGACGACAGAAACGGACCACTGACCAAATTGCCAGGTTTGCGAGTGGGCCGCAGTTGAACACTTCTTCGGGTTGAGTCACGACGAAGCTGGAGGAAGGGGCGAGGAGGAGGAGACGTAACCCGATGAACCCGCCCTCGCCTCGATCTGCAAGGTGTACGCGGCTTGAAGCCACCTGCGGCAGCTGCGAAGCACGGCCATCCAGGCGCGACAGAGAGCGTGCCATGGAGGCAGGGAAGAGATAAGATTATATAGATAGAGAGAGAGAACAGGAAACATAAGAGCGATACACACATTTATATAGAGAGAGAGAGGAAGGGAGAGAGAGAGAGAGAGAGAGAGAGAGAAAGAGAGCAAGAGAGCGACAGGCACAAACACACCGATCGAGAGAGAGAGAGATAACGAGAAAGAGAAAGAGAGAGATAGAGACACACAGGAGGAGAGAGAGAGAGAGAGAGAGAAAGACAGATGGAGAGATAGATTGTTTTTTTTTTTGCTGTGGACCTCTGCCCGTCAAGCTTCCGAAGAGATTGCCGAGCAGGAAAAAGGCGGGCACAAGAGGCCCTACTTGAAGATGGAGCCCTGGTGGAACAAGTACCCCAGGGAGAACTTGATATGAAGACCCCTGCGGCGATAACGAACACGAAGTTCAGAAAATACGGCCGGCCCTTCACGAAGAGCTCGCACTTGTCTGCACCATCAGAGCCCTCGCCTGCTTGTCCACCTCTGCAGGAGAGAGCTCGCCTTTGCCGACCTTCTGCAGCAACTTCTCGGCCTCCTCGGCATTGGAGCCGAAGATGTTGGCCATGATCTCCATGTGGTTTAACGGCTGCGCATTGCCAGTCGCCTCGTCCAGAGTAGCCCCGCCATCGCCAGAAACAGCGCATTCAGGTACTTCTTCTGGGCTCTGCGTTCCAGTAGTGCCACCAGCCGCCCCACCTCCATCAGGCTCATCTGGTGCAAGCGCCCCGACGCTGCCAGCTCCAACGGCTCCGCCACCGTCATCACCTCGAGCGCCGTGCTCTTGCTGAAAATCAAATGCGTGAGCCCTGCATTCGCCAGCAGTCACTGGCGCCCTCAGGGTCTTCTCCAAAAGGTAAACCTCCTTCTCCTCCTTAATGCGTTCCTGCTTCTTCTCCTTCTTCTGCAAACGCTTGAATCTCTTCTTGGCCTTGTGAGCCGCCGCCGCGTCAGCCTCGCCGATGAAGAAGTGCGAGGGGCCCCCTATGGCGGAGGAGGAGGCGGCCTCGGACATTTGCTCCTTATCGGCGGTGTCGGGACAGGCGCCCTTGGCGGCGGCGGCGGAGGCGTCGAAGACGAAGTTGGAGGGCTCGGAGCCGCTGGAGTCGTCGGCCCAGCTGCGAGCTACGCCAAGACCATCCTCTCCAGATACGGATCCTTCGGCACGTCGAAGACCCCCGGCGGCGGAGGCATCGGAGCCCCGGGCCTCGCGATCTTCTCCGTGGCGTGAGCCTGCAGGGCCTTCCGCTCCGGGTGCATGTTGATGCGCATCTGCGAGTTGATGTTCCCCTTGAACCTGAACCTCTTCCTCTTGCGGCGCCCCTGAAAGCCCTGAGGTACTCCACCCGGGGCAGGCGTTGAGGAAGCAGGGCATGGCGGCGGCGGCGGAATAGTACCCGGAGCCGTTCCCGAAGGCGGGGATGCCACTCCATGTGCCAGGGGCGACTGCGGGGGGGCCGGTGGGCGCAGGACCTTGCGCACACCATGCGCGGTCTGCACCAACATGGACTCCCGCCCCCGCGAGCAGGCAGTTGTAACTGGAGGCCCTGATGACAATGACGTCGCCATCGAAGGGGGCGACGCGACCTAAGAGCTCGCTGGTCAGCAGGTCCTCGGGGATGAAGATGCGCATGCAGGGCGCAGCAGCGCCAGGAGCGGAAGATAGACCAGCTTCACGATGTAGAGACCGGTCAGCGCAGCATCCCTGGCGTTCGCAAGGCCCGACGCGGGCCCCACGCTCAAGCAGCAGGCAAAGGCCCGTCAGCCCCAGGGGCTCGGGCTCAACTTGAGCCCGAGCGGCTTGAGCAGATGGAGAGATAGAGAGAGAGTGAGAGGGAGAGAGGTGCTGAGAGAGTGAGAGAGCGCGAGAAGGAAAAGTAGTGTGAGAGAGAGGGGGGGGGAAAAGACCACGAGAGAGAGAGAGAGAGGGGGGGAGATAGTGCTGGCAGGGAGCGTGCGCACGCTTCCCGCCCCCTCGACGGGGCTGTTGGGAGCGCCCCCCCCCCCCACACACACACACACTGCCTCGGCTGCGCCCGAGAGTGAGCGCCCTCCTCGCTCCTACCCCCGCGCCGCCACCCAAAAAAGGGGGAGTGTGACAGGCCTCGTATGTACAGTGCCGTTCTTCATACATGCTCCGCGTGCGGATCATGCATTAAAGATGCAGGGATCTCGTATTATCAACAACGATGAATTCACGCATATCTTTTTTTCATAAATTCTTCATGCATTAATATCCTATAATTTAAACTTCTATGTGTTAGAAACTGCCCTGTATGCGGCTGGGCCAGGCTAGGCCAAAGCTCCTCGTCTGGGAAAGGCACACGCTCTGAATCAGCAGCTTTGGCCAGCAGCTTCGCCCGCCGCAGCTCCCTAGCCCGCTCAGACGCCGAAGCGGGCGAGAAGTGAGCGCATGGAGGAGGAGGAGGAGGAGGAGGAGGAGGAGGAGGAGGAGGAGGAGGACGGAGGACGGAGGACGGAGGGCGGAGAGTGCGCGACGGCATGCGAAGCTGCCTATTCGGAAGGGCCAGGGCCATCCGTCGGCGGACCCTCGGCGAGTTGAGCCTCGAGCCCCGGACAGAGAATGCCGTGGCCTCTCTCGCGTGGCGTCGCGGTTCCGGCCGCGGATGCTGCGACGCGTCCAGGGCGAGGGCTGCTAAAGGTGCCCTTCGCCCAGGGTGCCCCAAGTTTTTCGTTTCATGCTGGAGCCCTTGGGCGTCCTGGGTCTCGTGAGGGGTGCTCTGGAGTCCGTGGGGGCCTCCCCTGGAAATCGAGAGGGCACCATGGGGTGGCTCCTTGGAGGGGACCTTCTGCACAGGAGAGCCCCCCCACACGCCCTCTGCGAGGCAGGGAAGGCCCCTCTCCCAATGTCTAGAATGTGGCGCCTTTTGTCCTCCTTTTCTTTTGTAGAATTGCAGTGGGACCTTCCCCAGGTGAGAGCCTTCCCCGCGCCCTCTGAGAGGAGGAGGAGGAGGAGGCCATTTCCAGCGTGTAGAAGGTGATCCCCTTTGCCCTCTTCCTGTCGAATTACAAGACAAAACTGCCCCCCTTTGCACTCCCCCCCGCCTGGCGCCATCGGCAGCCCTCCCTCTCCGAAGGTGAAGCAACGGCAGCAACATGCTCCAGCTGTCGGCGGCAAAAACGACTCGGGCCTCTCGATGTGCGGTGGAGCTAGGGTTCGCACTCCGTCGAACACGTGGCGATATCCAAACCCTGCCCCCGCCTTCCATCAATTCAGAAGAGGCGATGGCTGGTCGGGGTAGGGTTCGGATGTCGCAGGCGCAGCAGCGCAGCGTGAAGTTCGGCAGCCTTGGGACGGGGATCAACACAAACGGAGGTCAGCAAGGGCGCCGAATCTCGCAGGATCCTGCAAATCCAGGGGTGCATTGACCCGGGCTCGCGTGCAGGCTCCTGCAGGGTCCTGCAGGATCCTGCAGGATCCTGCAAGGCCTGACTGGCCCCTGTGTGCACTGGCCTGGGTCAGCGCGCCCCCGAGACGTTCGAGTCTGGAGGGGGGGGGGGGGGCACCTCGACGTCCGAGGCAGTGGGCACGCAAGGCTCACGACGCTGCTCAGAAGCACGGCCGGTCGCCCCGTCGGCGGGTGGCGGCAGCGCAGTCCGTGCCCCCCTCTCCCCCTGGCCCTGCAGATGCCAGCGGCGTGCGCCGATCGTGACCTTGCCTGGCGGCTCCTCCCCCCCTTTTCGTCGTCGACCTCCGCCTCCGCCTCCTCCTCCTCCTCCGCGACATTATACTCGTCTCCTTCTCTCCTCTTCATCTTGCTTGTCCTCCTCCTCCGTCTTCCTCGTTTCTCTCCTCCTTCCCCGCCTGCTCCTCATCACCGTCTTCATCACCCCCCCCCTCATCCGTCTCCTCCCCCTCGATTGTCATCTCACCCCCTCCCCCCTCTCCTCCTCCACCTCCTCCTCCTCGTCCTCCGCTTCCCATGCGCCTGCCTCTGCTCATTCGTGTCCCACTTTCTCCCCTCCTGCTCCACCTCCCCCTTCTCCTCCTCCTTCTTCTTCTCCTCCTCCTCTTCCCCCATTCCTCCCGTCTTCCTTTCCCCTCTTCCTTCTCCTCCTCTTCTCCTCTTCCTCATCCATTTTTTCGTGTTCTTATTCAACTTCTCTCTTTCTCCTCAGCGACCTCCTCATCCGCTGGTAGCTCTTCTCAGTGGGTGTGCCCAGGAAGCGCGGCCCCAAAGTACCCATCGGCTGTTGAAAGCAGGTATGTGTGGATTTCCAGGTCATAATCCGCTGTAGGCGCGCCCCTGGTTCCGAATGGCGAGTGGTTTTCCCTCTTCACTCTTACTCAGGGGGAGGGCGAAAACCCAGTATACTATCATCGCCATCCTACTGCATGATTCTGCCCACTTCTTCCGACCAGTGGGTTATGTACCTGTCACAATAGGCGCTGCGACCTCGGGAAGGAAGGCGGAAGACAAAGAGGTAAGGAGGACAATTCGAACGAGAGAGCAGGAGGCGCAGGAACGAAGCACGCCGGAGGAGTGGGACAGATGAGGTACAGTCAGCAGGAGGAGGGAGGAGTAAGAGGATGAGGAAGGAAGAAAGGAGGGGAGGACAAGGAGGAGGAGGAGGAGGAGGAGGACTCATCCCCCCTTGGCTCCAGACGTTTGCTGCGCGTGGGTCTCACGGCCTTCGGGCACGTTCCCGCTCCCCGCTGCCTGCTGATCTTTGTCTCCGGTTCCGAGGCGTCCTTCTCGGTTTCTATTCCCCCTCCTCCGCTTTGTTTCTCGTCCTCATCCTGCTTGTTCCTCCCTCCTCGTCCTCCTATTCCTCCTTAGTATCCCTTTCTCCTCCCTCATCGTCCTTCGTCCTCCTTCTCCTCCTCCTCCGTCATTCTCCTCCTCCGCTTCTTCCTCCTCCTCCTCCCTTCCCCACCACCCTTATTCAATCAGTCCTTGGATGAAGGTAGCTCGATCCAAAGCGTTTCGGACCATCTCCGAGAGCATTCCTCAGCGCTCTGCAGTGTTGTAGTCATTTTGCTCTTGTTGTTTATCGCCATCATCATTGCCGTTTCATTGTTGGCTCGAGTGGCGCTTGGGACGCCAGCCCTGCTGGACAAGATGTCCGAGACGATCTCGGCGTTCAAGAATGCAGCGTTCAAGAAAGCGGGGACTCTAAACCTCAATGATGTGAAAGAGTGGGTCGTGGAGGAGCGCAGGAGTCAGGCATCGTGCAGGAGCTTGCCGTTTACTTTTCTACTGTATTGCTCTTTCACGTGGCATCTGTTCAGTCATCGACAGGTGGACTTGGTCTTCCCCTTGCTCAACCAGCTCGGCACCGCAACGAGGAAAGGAATTGTGCCGCTGTCGATGCCCGAGAAAGTTCCACCCGCTACCCCGTCAGAGCTGTCAACTGTCAGCTCTTGGGCAGACGCAATGGTGCCGCTTGAGGAGGAGGAGGAGAAGAAGGAGGAGGAGGAGGAGGAGGAGGAGGAGAGGGAGGAGGAGAGGAGGAGGAAGAGGAAGAGGGGGAGGAGGAGGAGGAGGAGGAGGAGGAGGAGGAGGAGGAGGAGGAGGAGGAGGAGAAGGAGGAGCAGGAGGAGGAGGAGGAGGAGAAGGAGGAGGAGGCGGAGGAGGAGGAGGAGGAGGGGGAGGGGGAGGAGGAGGAGGAGAAGAAGAAGAATAATCAGAAAAAGAATGAGGCGGAGGGGGAGGGGGAGGGGGATGAGGAGGACGAAGGGGAGGGGGCGGAGCAGGGGTCTTTCGAAGGCTCCCCAGAGGAGGTCGTTCGACAGCTCCCCAAGTTTTCTACGGCTTCCAGTTTCTCTTGGCGGTTTCTGAAGCCATCTTCTGGTGGGGGGATCCGCAGCAGCAGGAGGAGGCCGTGAGAAGCAGCACCAGGAGGAGGACGCGCAGGAACAGGAGCGGCAGCAGGTATGGCTGGACAGGACCATGGTGCCGCTGATCTGGTCTAGTGGCAGCGGAGGGGCCGGCGCTGTCATGGGCGTGAACCGCTTGGTGGGCGGGATGCGCCTGCGCCAGACGCGCCTGAAGCACGTCGACTGCCCTGGGCCAGACACCCTCGCCAACTCCTACGACGCCTGGTTCAGAGACACGTACAACCAGCCGTGCGCCTAGTCTCGGGGGATGGCCACTCCAGGCAGCGGCGGCTCTTCCGCCTGGCCGCGATGCGATCAAAGGGGTCGAGGCGTTCGAACCATGCCGACCCGTTCGAGGATCCATCCCGGAACGTGACCCTCCGAGGCCCCTGCGCCCTCATCGCGCGTCCTCTACCTCGCGTGCTCCCCCAGAGGCCTCCTGGATGGGGTCCGAGTAGGTGGGGTCGGAGAGTCGCGCCGCATCGCCGATGCATCGGCGATGCACTGGCAGCATTTCCGAATCATCGGCGACGTCGGCGTTGAGAAAAAGTGGGCCCCACGTGAAGCCGCGTCGGCGAGACATCGCCGATGCCTCGGCGATGCGGCGCGACTCTCCGACCCTCCGACCCCGCCTGCGGGGCCTGGATCCCCGGGGCCCCCGGCCAGGGTCTCTGGCGGCGGCCCCCCCGGGGGGTCTTCCCGGAGCGGCGCGCGGAGGCCCTCGGGGAGACGCGGGCGCCGCGGCAGGGGCCGCGCACCTCCCTGCCGCCTCTCCGGGGAGGGCGCGGGGGCGCGAAGGGGTGCAGTTCTGAGGTCGGGCCTGTGCCCCCTGCAGTGATGTCGGCATGTCCCTCCACAGGGGAAAGATTCAAAGACAGTGAAACAAATAGTCTGGGGGCGACGTTTGTTTTGAGTATTGTTCAGTATTCTTGTATTTTTTTGGAGTCTGTGTCATTTTTCCTCCCAACTCCGCCTGTAGGGGGACACGCCCGACCAAATTACAGTTAGGTCGGGCCTGCCCGCCTACAGGCGGATCTTGGAAGAATATTATCAGAAATAGTCGAAACATCGTCTTCATACTGTTTGGTTGTGCTATGTTTGAAGAACTATTCCTGTAGAAGGACGCGCCCGAAGTAAAGTTACAGTCGAGACTGATTAGTAGCTCGACCCTGCCACATCGAGGGTACCCTTGGGTCTGGAGCTTCGCGGCCCATGCCTTCTTGCATTCCTAGGGAGCTGTGGCCCTCGGAAGGGTCTCGTGTCCTCTCGCGCGTCCTCCACGGTCAACCCCGACTGTAGCCGTGCGTCTCGCGCACGGCGGCAGGGGCGCGAGACGTGAAGTGGTCGGCGACATGGGTAGCGTCGGCCTCCTCGCACGTGGTAGTTTTTGTTATTCATTGTTTTGCCGATCGGCGCGGGCCCCCCTTCCCCCCCCCATGAAGTAGATCTGGGCTGTTTTTTGGCGCCTGTTTCGAGCGGGTGGAGCCTCCCCCAGAGGCAACACTCTTGCAAGCAGTCGCATGAAGCAGAGTTCAGGAACCCGACCCCCCCCCTCTCCCCCTCACCTTCTGCCCAATGTTGAAACGCCGAATCAAAAAACGCTCACGACATTGAGCGTTTCGACATTGGGCGGCAGGGCGCGGGGGAGGGGGGGGTCTGGCTTCGGACCTCTGCTTACTGCGACCGGCTGTTTGCAGCGGTGCGTCCTATGGGGGAGGCACTCCACCTGCTCGAAACAGGCGCCAAAAACAGCCAAGATCTACTCTATGGGGGGGGAGGCCCGCGCCGATCGGAAAAACAAGGAATACAATAACGATCACCTCACACCTGGAAGACGGGGCCCCTGACGCGAAGTTTGGTGACCTGGAGGGCCAAGGCGTCAAAAACACTTGGGCCCTCGATCCTCGCACCTCGAGGCCTGGGCCCCTGATCACGAGGGTGCCATCCGGCAGCAAATCATTGAGGAGCAGGAGGAGGAGGAGGAGGAGGAGGAGGAGGAGGAGGAGGAGGAGGAGGAGGAGGAGGAGAGGGGTAGGAGGAGGAGGAGGAGGAGGAGGAGGAGGAGGAGGGGGAGGAGGAGGAGCACGACGAGTGGGGGCGATCGAGGGGCGCGCCGCTCGCGCGCGCTCGGCGTGGCGCCGAGGGGCCCCGGTGCGCCTCGCCGCTGCCGAGGCCCCCACGGGCCCCGCGGCCTGCCTCGCCGCCTCCGTGCTCTTTCGCAGGTGCGCCACTGGCGTCGACTGGTGCGGAGTGGCGTCTCTGGGGGTCGTCGAGGTAGCGCCGATTTGGCGTCGGTTGTCGTCGATCGGTGTCGATTTAGCGTCGATCAGCGTCGATTGAGCGTCGATGGGCGTCGGCTCGCAAGAGGCGACAAGATGGTATGGCAGGCCCGCGTGAGTTGCCACCGAAGTGCCACGCGGTCTGGGATGGATCTGGCCGGGTGGATCGGGACCTGACTTCGGGCGGCATAGATTAGCATCAGAGTTCGGGCGGCCAGAAAGGCGGGGGGGGGGTTCACGAAGACTGCCACGTGCAGCTGGTTTCGGCTCTGCCGCCAGGTACCTTCCTTGATGCATGGGGCGCTCCAGAAGGACCTCGCCTTCGAAGAATCGAAGACGATGGTGTCTCTCCCTCGGTGGAAGGCCCTCGGGAGGCGGTCGAAGTAAAGCGAGGCCGCCTCCGCAGGCGGAAAGTTGGCAGAAGCCGGCGGGAGTGGAATATTGTATGCGCCCCAAGGAGATGGCAAAGGTTGTTCGTTCAATGTTCCCAGAGTCGGCCAAATGGTCGCTCGCGGCTCCTCGAGGCGCCCAGAAAAGCAGCCACATGTAATTCTGGTGGACTCGTTGACCCCCCTTTGCGTACCCGGTTGGGGTGGGCTGGTGATCCCCTTGGGGTCGCCTGGGCCCCTTTGAGACCCGACGTCGAGGACAGAAAATCAAGCGTCGTGACAAATCAAGTTCGGAGCCCTCTATACCCAGAGTGTCTGCGGCATCTCTCGAGCCGGATCAATCTCCGCGCTGCCCGAGGCCCGAATCTCTGCGACAATGCACACTCCGAGTTTCTCAGGAAGCGTCGGGGGGGCGTCGCCCCCGCCGACAGCCCCACATCGACCCCCGTCGTGGGCAACCGCTGCGCGCCGAAGGCGCCCCGACCCCCGTCGCGGCGCGACGACGAGGCGAGGTTGACCCCCGTCGGGGGGGTGCCCCTCCACGCTTATCAAGAAGCCCAGAGTGGTGTATCTGGACGCCCGAAATGGGAACGGAAAGAATGGGTACAATGCCTAACAGCAGTTCTGGTTCATTTTGAACAGGATTCGCTGTCCACGCCGCCGCGGCCTGTGTTCATTCGAGACACAAGGTCGCCTGCCCAACAGCGGCCGCTGTTGGTTTGGGACAACATTTCTTGTTGGGCATTGTACCCATTTTTCCGTACCCATTTCAGGCGTGATCTCGGGGCCAGTGAGAGGCACCCTGGATACCCTCGGGGCCCTTCCTGGGACAAGGCTCGGAGCCCCGAGTCATCAGGGGCAACTCGGGTCAGGGCCAACTCGGGCTCGTTTTTCTCAGGAGGGGAAAAACATACAGACACAATCAGTCGTCGATTCCCAAGAAAATGTGGACAAGATGGGATGGGGGGGCTGTGGGACAAAAAACACACTGTGGGGAAAAACACACACAGTCTGTGGGAAAGAACACACACAAGACACACACTGTATGAAAATTAGCCTGGCGAAGGACCCAACGGATATGAGACAAAGGAGGGGGCACGCAAACTAGGCCCCTCTTCTCATAGGCACCGCGCCACTGGGGCCTTCGGTGGAGCTCCCTATGGGGCCACGAAACGTGTGAAGGGTGTGCCGAAATGGGTGGTGGGGAGGCATGCGGACCCTGCCACTGGGGCCTTCGGTGGAGCTCCCTATGGGGCCACGAAACGTGTGAGGGGTGTGCCGAAATGGGTGGTGGGGAGGCATGCGAACGCAGCCACTGGGGCCTTCGGTGGAGCTCCCTATGGGGCCACGAAACGTGTGAGGGGTGTGCCGAAATGGGTGGTGGGGAGCCACTGGGGCCTTCGGTGGAGCTCCCTATGGGGCCACGAAACGTATGAGGGGTGTGCCGAAATGGGTGGTGGGGACGCATGCGAACGCAACCACTGGGGCCCCTTCGGTGGAGCTCCCTATGGGGCCACGAAACGTGTGAGGGGTGGGCCGAAATGGGCGAGGGGCGGCATGCCAACTCTGCCACTGGGGCCTTCGGTGGAGCTCATTATGGGGCCACGAAACGTGTCAAGGGTGTGTCGACATGGGTGGCGCGGACGCATGCGAACCCTGCCACTGGGGCCGTCGGTGGAACTCCCAATGGGGCCACGAAACGTGTGAGGGGTGTGCAAAAGTGGGTGGGGGCGGCATGCGAACCCTGCCACGGGGGCCTTCGGTAGAGCACCCTATGGGGCCACGAAATGCGTGAGGGGTGTGCCAAAGTGGGGTGGGGGCGGCATGCGAACCCTGCCACTGGGGCCGTCGGTGGAGCTCCCTATGGGGCCACGAAACGTGTGAGGGGTGTGCCAAAGTGAGATGGGGGCGGCATGCGAACCCTGCCACTGGGGCCTTCGGTGGAGCTCCCTATGAGGCCACGAAACGTGTGAGGGGTGTGCCAAAGTGGGGCGGGGGCGGCATGCGAACCCTGCCACTGGGGCCTTCGGTGGAGCTACCTATGGGGCCACGAAACGCGTGAGGGGTGTGCCAAAGTGAGGTGGGGGCGGCATGCGAACCCTGCCACTGGGGCCTTCGGTGGAGCTACCTATGGGGCCACGAAATGCGTGAGGGGTGTGCCAAAGTGGGGTGGGGGCGGCATGCGAACCCTGCCACTGGGGCCGTCGGTGGAGCTCCCTGTGGGGCCACGAAACGTGTGAGGGGTGTGCCAAAGTGAGGTGGGGGCGGCATGCGAACCCTGCCACTGGGGCCTTCGGTGGAGCTACCTATGGGGCCACGAAACGTGTGAGGGGTGTGCCAAAGTGGGGCGGGGGCGGCATGCGGCCACCCTGTGCCCCTGTGGGGCCACGGGGCCACGAAACGTGTGAGGGGTGTGCCAAAGTGGGGTGGGGGCGGCATGCGAACCCTGCCACTGGGGCCTTCGGTGGAGCTCCCTATGGGGCCACGAAACGTGTGAGGGGTGTGCGGAAATGGGAACTAATGGCGATGGCGATGATGATGATGATGATGATGATGATGATGATGATGATGATGATGA